ACGAACTACTAACTATTAATGAACCGTGGAAAACTAATGGAGAACAATGTAAGAAATTGCTAAATGCATTTGTTGAGACAAGAGCACAGGGAAGTACCGGCTAACCATCACTGGCAGTAAGCAGGAAGTGAGGGGGTGGTGGATCGACAGGGCCCTATATCGCGTGCCATGAAGGCGAGATTTCAGGGGGTACCCAGGCCGACCCGACGGATGCTGCTAAGGGAAAAATCTTCCGGCTGGCATGCACGTGCACACACTTGATTGGAATCGACATGAACAAGCCCTTGAAGAACTTGAGCCTTTGCTCCTGGCCTTTTAAGGTCTTGGGAAGAAACCCCTTACAGATCCTGCACCTCTCCTCAGGGCCATCCCTAGCTATTCTGGGGCCTTATGCAGGCCCCCTCCTTGAGGGTGTGGGGGGGGGGGCCCAGGCCACGCCGCGGGGGTGCTTGCGAGAACTGCTGCCCAGCACTCACTGGCAGCGCGGCTGGGTCTGGGTCACTGCACTTCCTGCCACCGGTGAGTGCAGGCCCAGCCCTGCTGCAGTCCTCAGGGGAGTGGGGGGGGGGGGAGCAGGGGCAGGGGATTTGGGGAAGGGGATGGAGTGGGGGCGAGGCTGGAGTGGAGCATGGGCGGGGCCTTTTGGGGAAGGGATGGGGTGGGGGTGGAGCAGGGGTGGGAAGAGGCGGGGCTGGGGCTGGAGCAGCACACAGCTGCACAGGGCACCAGGAAATTTGGTGCCCCAAATTTCTTGGTGCCCTACCCAGCTGCGTACTTTGCGTATGGGTAGGGACGGCCCTGCCTCTCCTTTTGGTGACTCTCCCCAAGATGCTTCAAGCAGGAAGTGTGCAGGTTGCTCCTGGGCATTGATTTGCCACAGTCCTCACAGAGTTCAAACTCCAGGGACTGAGGAGGCATGCTCCAGTGACGGGGGAGCTTGGGGGTGGGGGAACCCCGCAAAGGAAACTTATGAACTAACTAACTACAACTATATACATTGAAATGCAGACACTGCCAAGAAAGTGCTTGCCGAGGCAAGAGCAATGGGGTGTTTCAGCTAGCCATCACTGGCAGTAAAAAAGAACTGAGAGGATGGCAGGTCGGCGGGGCCTTATATCGAGCGCCATGAAGGCATGACTCCAGGGGCTGCCCAGGCCTGTCCGGCGGATACTGCGAGGGGAAAAATCTTCCGGCTGCCGCGCATGCGCCGTGCGCACACCTAATTGGAAGTGACATGAGCAATCACTCGAAGAAGAACTAATATTCTGCAACAAAGTATGTGAGAAGTCCTCAGACTCTGCAGTGTTTCCACAGTCATGAATTTCCCTGTCTTTCTTAATACAATCATAGAAACCTTGACCATTCCTGACAGGTGTTGGTCCAACTTGTTCTTAACAACCTCCAATGATGGACACTTGTAGTTAGAAGGTTTTTCCTAATATCCAACCTAAATCTTCCTTGCTGAAGATTAAGCCAAGCACTTCTTGTCCTACCTTCAGCGGATGTGGAGAGTAATCTATCACTGGCCTCTTTAATAACAGCCCTTAACTACTGAAGACAGTTACTAAGGTTCCCCAGCTCCCATGCCTTCTTTTCTCAAGAGAAAAACTTGTCCAGTTTTTTTAACCTTTTCTCATAGGTCAGGTTTGCTAAATCTGTTACCATTTTTGTTGGTTACCTCTGGATTTGTTCCAATTTGTTCACATCTTTCCTAAAGTGTGGAGCCCAGAGCTGGGCACAGTACTGCAGCTGAGGCCTCACCAATTGCCAAGTAGAGCAGGACAGTTACTGTCCACAGTTTACATGCTTGTACTACGCCCCAGCATATCAGCCTTTTTCACAGCTGCAGCACATTGTTAATTCATAGTCAATTCATGATCCACTGTAACCCTCAGAGCCTTTTCAGCTGTACTACCACCTAGACACTTATTCCACCCCCGACTTTTGCTGCAGCCATGTCCTAGTCTTTTATGAACCTTTCAGGATGGAGATGTTTGCGCCCTTAACTGTGATCTTTAGTCTTTAATGTTAGTACCAAAAGTGTGATTATAATAGGGTAATAGCATCATGTTTCTAGAGCACTACATTCTGTGGTTCAGCTTCTACCAGCCTAGTGCCTTACTGTAGGAGTAGTTCTGTTTATTTCAGTGGACTAAATATGACATAAGATGCTACTCTCTGTAAGTAGGGTTGGAAAGATTAGATATTTGATTGGTAAGTGTCAACGAGCATTGCTTTAAAAACAAACAAACACACACACTATACAGCACAGCATTGTAAGAAAAATGCTACTTGAGACTTAGCATGTGAGTTAAGGATATTTATTTTGCAATTTCTGTTTTTATGGTTATAAACCTTTAACTTTTTGAATCACGCCTACTGTCATTTGACAATTCTTGTGTGTCTGCAGCAATCTGACCACCCCCCCCCCCCCCGCAATTTCCTGCCACTGTGAAAATTTAAATTGGAAAAATTGCTTAAAACGCCCATATATTGAGCACAACTGTGAAAATTTAAATTGCTTTAAAAATAAACATTGCTATTATGTGTTGAAATGATTAAATAAAATAAACATTTAATTCTGCTATGTCTCATGTTAAGACTGGCACTAGCTGGGCTGGAATGCTGAGACTGTTTTCCTAACACAGTGCTGTTATGATTTACAGCATATTTTGACCATATTCTATAATTGTTTAACTACAACTGAAGAACAGCAAGGCTTGTCAGAAGACAGCTTTTCATGTGCATATACTACCTCCCTAGTGCAAATTCCTTTCTATTTTAGGACAATCAGCTAGATAGTTTTACTTAAGACAAGCATGAATTAGAATTAAAAACATTTGTGGCATGCTTATTCAAAGCAGCTTGGGACATAGAGAAATACTATTGGAAGCTTTGGTGTTATTTCCCCCCACCACTGATGTGTGATGTACTTAAAGCATATTAATGTTTAAGCTATGTTTTTCATCTGACATGATAATCTCTACATGATTGTGTCATCTGTGTCGATACAATTCTTTAGTGCTGAGCTGTTAAAAGGAAAACTCATTTTTCTGGCCTACTTATTAAGCTGTATCGGGAGGTTAAATTCTCTTTCCCTTCTCTGTGCTAGTCTGTTCCTCATGTAGGTCAGATTCTGCAGGCTGAGGCGCAGGCAGGACCTTGGTCAACTTCAACTGGATTCCACCTGTGTGTAGGGGTCTATTTGTGCAGGTGAGATGGCAGGGTTAGGTCCTAAGTCTGCCAAGAGATTCACACCCTGACTGAGCCCTGTGCCTGGGCAGCATCCCCTGGGATTTCAGTGGGGTGCCACCCCTTTGCAAGTGGCACCCCACCACAGATTGAAATGGAGACTTACCTTCAGCCGGGGCATCATAAAACCAGCTGGCCCCAGAGCCCGAGTAAGATGTAGTGAGAGGTGACAGGCCAAAAGGAGAATTCATGGCAGGCTTCTGAGCTCTGCCTTTGAACACGGTTCAGCTTTCAAGCAGGAGCCCAGGAAGGAAAGAAACGCATCGCTGCTGTCAGAAGAAAGAGTGGAGGCCTGGGGTGCCTCCAGCAGAAGGGACTGCTTTTGCTGCTGCACAGCCCATGCAGAGGAGCTGGCTTAGGCTCAGTTTCCACCAAGAACTGGCCTCTCCCAGAAGATGCTGGTCTAACAAGGCAGTCACTGACACGCAGTGGTGCTGCAGCACGGTCTGGTCCAAACATCTACTTTGCAGAAACTAGCGCATGCCAGGGGAGGAGAAACCTGAGACACAGGAAGACCTCAAACTAGGTGTGCATCCAGAGGCGGAATTCCTGCAACAGTCACTGTTGGGGAGCAAGAAACAATATAGCTGGGTTTGGACTGACAAGCGTGGGCCAGGGGTGGGGGATTGGAGGGCCCAGGAGGTTCATAGGTGAAGGTAGATTGTCTTTAGCCAGCAGCCCACAGCATACTCTTCAGTCCCTACCTGTATCCATGGCTCTGCTATGCTAAATGGTGGCTCAACCTCTTTGGAGGCTGGCCACACACCTCAACACTGAATAGACACCCTCAGGTGAGGAGCTGGCTTCAGCCAGACTGGAATCAGGACCCTGCCATTTGGAGTATGGCACTGGATGTAGCAAACCTTGATTATACTTCACTATCCTTATGCTGAGTCCAGGTGTGGAGCTGCCATGGCCAAGATGAAGATTGCTACCCTAACCCAATGCTCTGCAGCCTTTTCCCAGAGCTGTTCAGAAAACCTGTCACAGTGGCCATCTCTAGAGTATGAAAACAGGTTGGGTTGTATTTAAGAACATGTTGGCTAATCCTAGTAGCCACGTTTAAAACTCTTCTAAAAACATCTGTTCATGACGGACCCGAGGCTCCTTGTTGGGTTGATAATAACCAGCGCAGAAGTTTTTAAAAGGTGCAGAACCCATAAATGCTACTGCTTAAAATCTGTTGGCTCTCTTCTTTTTAAGACCTTTATTTCCATGTGTAGACATGGCCTGCAGCGCAGAGACACTTGGACTTGGGCTGTGGAGTACCTGCTGTAGTTATATAGGGGAGCAGTTTAAGGGCAGGGTTGACTCATCTATCGTGACTGCTGTAGTACAGAATTCTGTGTATGAAAATGATGCATTTTAGCACTCTACACTGCATTTTGAATGTATTTTTTTCTGGTTTTGAAGTTTATATAGAACTACAGAAGACAAACTGATCTGTGAGCAGTTGTCTGGTCCTATGGTGCTAGCCCTACCTTCTGAGAGAAACAGAACAGATGTGACCTAAGTGAAAACAAAAATACTCTCTCCCCCCCCCCCCCCAGAGACAGGACAACACAACGTTCTAACATATATAAAAAGCTATGTATATGTAACTTTAGCGCCCTCGTAGCCAAGATGGAGTCTGCTCTGCAGGCAGCTTTGGCCAAGAGAAGGGAAAGTTCCGTCCACTCCAGGGGCACCTGTTCCAAACCCCCCAGAGTGAACACCCCCCCCCCCCCCCGGGAAAAGTACAATGGATATAACAAAGGGAGATATTTATTTACAGAGGGATGAGAGGAGAAAAACAACAAGGGGAAGTACAGGGGGAGCAGTAGAACAGGGTTGCATCCATACCAAGGCCCCACAGGCCCAGTGGTAGCACAGTCTGAAAGGTCGGACACTGAGCTATGTGTCTGCACACAGAGTTCAAGAGTCCTGAGCAAAGTTCCAGTCCAGTGATGAGTCTTGGGTGCTCCTGGTTGTCTTCAGTGCCAGTGAACTTTCCCCCAACAAACCCCTCCAGTACCCTCTTCTGCCGCTCTCTGCAAAGCCACACAAAGCGACCACCTCCCCACTTAACTAGCTTGCATCCTCCCTCCTTATTCCCAGCGCAGAGTCACAAGCCCCAGTACTTACAGTCCCATGCAGCTCTGGGCAGCAGTGATACTGGGTTCAGTTCTGGCCTGTCCTTCTCAGGCAATTCCTCCCTGGCACACTGCTCCTCCTGGCTCCTGTCCTGGGGTGTCCCCGATTGGCCGACCTGTCCTTTCCAGGCTTCAGGCAGGTTCTCTGCTGCTTCACTTTGTCCAGGGCCTCCGGGCTGCAGCCCATCTCTCCCCAGAGCTCCAGACCCCACCCCAGAGTTTCCCTCCTTTCTCTCACTGCTCCCTAGGAAAAAGATTTAAAGGGGCCATGCTCTCTACACCCCAAAGGGGTTACAGATGTATATATTTTACTTTCCTGTAACAGTGTTACCCATTCATGAGTGGGAGGTGGTGTCCCCTGTGAAACAAACATATGTTTGGAGAAGTGTGTCAATTTACTACTGCACTGTAGTCCTGTGATTCCATCTTCAATGTCATTAGAGATGGACTTGTATGGTCATGGAGCAGGTCCTCAAGGAATCCATTTTGAAGCACTTGGAGGAGAGGATGGTGATCAGGAACAGTCAACATGGCATCACCAAGGGCAAGTCATGCCTGACCAACCTGATTGCCTTCTATGATGAGACAACTAGCTCTGTGAATATGGGGAAAAGCGGATGACATGGTATACCTGGACTTTAGCAAAGCTTTTGACACAGTCCCCACAGTATTCTTGCCCAAGTTAAAGAAGTATGGATTAGATGAATGGACTATAAGGTGGACAGAAAGCTGGCTAGATCGTTGGGCTTAACAGGTAGGGATCAACGGTTCAATGTCTAGTTGGCAGCCGGTAGCAAGCAGAGTGCTCCAGGTGTTGGTCCTGGGGCCGGTTTTGTTCAGCATCTTTATAAATGATCTGGATGATGGGATGAATTGCACTCTCAGCAAGTTTGCAGATGACACTAAGCTGGAGGAAGAGGCAGACACACTGGAGGGTAGGGATAGGGTCCAGAGTGACCTAGACAAATTGGAGCATTGGGCCAAAAGAATTCTGATGAGGTTCAACAAGGACAAGTGCAGAGTCCCGGACTTCGGAAGAATCCCATGCACTGCTACAGGCTGGGGACCAACTGGCTAAGTAGCAGTTCTGCAGAAAAGGACCTAGGGGTTACAGTGGATGAGAAGCTGGATATGAGTGAGCAGCATGCCCCTGTTGCCAAGAAGGCCAATGGCATATTGGGCTGTATTAGTAGAAGCATTGCCAGCAGATCAAGGGAAGCGATTATTTCGCTCTATTTTGCACTGGTGAGGCCACACCTTGAGTATTGTGTCCAGTTTTTGTCCCCCCACTACAGAAGGGATGTGGACAAACTGGAGAGAGTCCAGCAGAGGGCAATGAAAATGATTAGGGGGCTGGTGCACATGACTTACACGGAGAGTCTGAGGGAACTGGGGTTATTTAATCTGCAGAAAAGAGTGAGGGAGAATTTGATACCAGCCTTCATCTACCTGAAGGTGGGTTCTAAAGAGGATGGAGCTAGGCTGTTCTCAGTGGTGGCAGATAACCGAACAAGCAGCAATGGTCTCAAGTTGCAGTGGGGGAGGTCTAGGTTAGATATTAGTAAAAACTATTTCACTAGGAGGGTGGTGAAACACTGGAATGGGTTACCTAGGGAGGTGGTGGAATCTCGATCCTTAGAGGTTTTTAAGGCCCAGCTTGATAAAGCCCTGGCTGGGATGATTTAGCTGGTGTTGGTCCTGCTTTGAGGTGATTGGACTAGATGACATCCTAAGATCTCTTCCAACCCTAATATTCTATGCCAAACTTCATGGTATATCTATGAGAAAGTTACAGCAATTTTAAGAATTACTTAAACAGGTGCAGAAATTTGTGATGCCACTAAGCCACTCTAATAAAAATCACACCTTAAGTTGAACCTATGCAACTGTGTTTACAAGGCCTAAACAAGTTATAATTAACTGATGTGATGTTTGAGCAGTAGTTGAACGGCTCATTTTAATTAAGCTTTTATTTTGGAAGACTTGTTTACAGAACACAGTTGAAACATGTTCCATTAAGTTACAGAAATATAGATGTCCCCTCTGAGGCACAACACCAGAGCCTCCTCTTCCACTTTCCCCAGTGCAAGGTTGCTTAAAGTGATGCATTGCCTCACTGTTATAATTTTTCCCAAAACTTCTCAATCTTCACAGTGCAGAAGCACTAGCTGTTCCATGTCAGCCACATTTCATGTTCATTATCAGGGACTTCAGTATTTAACTGTTGTAGTGCCTTGCCTTTTTTTTTTGGCAAGCAAAAGACAACTGTTGAAGTACACTGATGAATTTTGATAAACTAAAACATCCCTCGCCAAAGCAGCATGGGATATTGCACATCAGTAGTCAGTGTCAGTTTTTCTAGCGCCCTCAATTTTTAGACAAACCATGAAGTAGAGAATGTTAAGCATCTATTTGTCATAATCTTGAGTCTTAATTTGTGACATAGGAAACTGGTATGGGTTTTAATGGATGACCATTTGCTCTGAAAAAAGTTGAAATTGGATTTTCAACTGAAGGCCAGATAGGAAGAAAAAAAAATATATAAGCCTATGCAATCAGCATAGCTGCACTATTCCTGCGATGGGCTTGTCAGTCAACTTTGGCTGAAAGTTATAAAATTAAGAACTGTATTTAAGATTCTGTAACAAACTCTAAAAAGAGCTAAAAAACTTTACTGGCACATATGCTGAGATAGCAAAGAGTTGTTTATCCTTCATATAGCTGCTATAAAGTCTTAGTGTCTTACCAGAACTCAGTAACCTAGACCAGGGACTTACAGGTTCTACTTTTTCCTTAGAGCAAACATTCCCAGGGCTGAGGATTTCCCTAGGCAGCGGGCCAATGAGGGATGAGGCACTGAAATGCTTAAGTACTTTTGAGGATCTGGCCTCAACTTCTAAAGCTCAGTCCTCACTAGGGTTTGCCAGTTTTGATTGTACAATTCCTGTATCTTTATGAAAAGATAATATTGTGAGTTCCCAGATACTCCAGGTCAATCCTGGAGGGTTGACAACCCTTGTCCCCACCCACATCAAAACACAGTTTGCCACAATTACCAAACTGTAAATTCTGACCTTTACAAAGTACCTTTGAGAGTACTTCAGTAGCATTTTTGGCCACTGTAATATGCTACAGTGGCCAACTAATTTTAACAAAAATCTTTTTAGCAGCTTCTTCTAGTTTGCATTAAAATCTTTTACTAGTCAGGGACATTAAAAATCCGATTTAATCCATTAGGGAAGTGGACTAACCACCTGTGCTGACTGTTGCATAAGTATTTCAGCTCTCATCTGTATTACTGTAAAGCCTAGAAGAGCCATGTTTATTATACACTATGCAATGCTAAAAACTTTAGCCTTGAAAAACGGTCTTGAAAGCACACCAGCTAAATCTACTGCACATCCTTTCCTACATCTATTTGGCATAGAACCACCAATATTTAAACATCCATTCATGACTGTTTTTAATTCATGTACATCAGAGACTAGCCAGTTATTTCAATATTACTTTATTTTAAAACAGCTAGGTCACAACACTAAGCTCAGCCCATTCTGCCAATATACAAGCTACAAATGCTTGTCTGACAGTCAAGGGTTAATCTTTAGTAGCATACTTGAAAGTGAGTAAAAATCCATATAAAATATTCATAGTTTCCATAGGAACACAGATAATGTGACCCCCATCTCCTAGTCATTCATTTTGTTGCATTTATGCTGACCCTAGACTTTAACAAAAAAACCCAAAGAAACATTTAAAAATTCTAGCAAGAATTAAGTTAAGTTAATGGTCCCCAAAATGCCCTAGATATTCAATAAACAAACTTGCAATTAAACAATATCTATACATTAATACTAGTTGAAGCACAAGTTGCTGGATGATGTTCAATTCCACTTTCCCAGGCACAAGACAGTGGCAAAGTACTGACATCCTGCTCCTCCACTTCAGCTAGGAAACCTTGCTCATTAATCTGTTGCATTAGTTGCCTAAGTAAGAGGAAAAAGTAAGTCAGGAAACAATCCCTATGTTTTACCCTGATTTAAGCAACTGCAATATCAAGTAGATCTTGGAGTCAAATCATAATTTGACCCTCCCATCTCCAGATCTACTGATAACAGGAGGTGGTTTGCTCAGAAGTAGAATGTGTACAGCTTTAAATCAGAATTGCATTCAGAATCAGTGATTGGAATGACTTATTTGGGCACATGCAATTACTCAGTCTCCACTCCATAACCCTAGTTACATCCCACCCAATTTTGCTGATAGCAAAAGTCCTAATGTAGATGCAGTTATGTTGAGTGGCGTGTGATTTTTCCAGTCCTACCCGACACAGCTACACCAGGAGAATTTAAGTGCAGAACAGGCCAGAGGAACACTAAGCTTCATTAGAACAAATAGAGCATTTCACTTAGGGATTGTACCTCTTCATGCCCCTCACTTTACACAAGTATGTTGCCAGAAGTCTGTTGTGTAGACCTGGTTTAACTTAAATTAGTGGTGTCCCCAACATCTAGCTTGCTGGTATGCATTTGGCCCCTTTAACACATTTTAAATTTATGATTTCATTTTAGGTGTCCAGCCTTTCTGCTTTCAAAATACAAAGCTTCCAAATATGAAGTGTAAACTAATGTACTGACACCTTCAAGAACGTGGGGCAGTGAAGGGAAACACCCGAGTGACCCAGCTATGCTGGCAAAATTATGCTTTTACTGTATAGCTAGTTTCACTCATGAGGTGGTTTTACAGTACTGTTTTTTTTTTTTTTTTTTTTTTTAAAGTAACTGCCAGGATAGCTACATCCACACTACAGAACTTTCCTGATACAGCATACCAGTAAAGCACCCCAGTGTAGAAATAGTCATTACAAGATCTCATCAAGAGAATTTTCCATTTGCCAGTCAGATGGCCTCAACAGTAATCCATATAGTATCTGTAAAGCAACCTAAGTGACTGACATAATTTTAAGCCTACTATTCCCCCACCCATTTAAAAATATCACGTGGAGTCTTTGTAAAACCACAAATTGGCAGAAAAAGTGACACCTCAGCTGTTATGTGAAAGATCCATGCAAAAAGGGATGACCTACTAGACAGGGGAAACTGCATTTGTTAGCACTGTATCTAGAAAGAGAATATAGCAAGTTTCACCAAGTAATCTTTGTTATGTTACGCTGGAATTTTCAGAGGCATTTAAGGAGGCAATGTGTCCAAATCCCATTGAAAACCAACAGGAGTGGATATTTCTTTCCTTGGGCCCCGGGGGAGGGGAGGGGGGAGGAGAAGAGAAGAGTCTCAGTGATGTAGTCTTAGGCTACGATTCGAGAGAGCATCCCTTTAAATCCTGCTAGCTACAGGTAGAATTTGTCTTCTAAAGTAACACCTATCAATTCATAATAAATGGACCTGTGGATTAGTCAACAAGGAGTTTTGCTTAAAGTGAATAACTATCAAGAGCTCTTGGCAGACCTAGTAAGATTCTCCCACCTAAAGCAAAAGTGTGACAAGTTACTAACCATGCTGGCCTTGACATCACATAATTTATTGCTGGCCTCTGGAATCCATTGAAAGTGGAAGCAGCTGCAACTGTATAGGCACCCATATTTTCAAATAGCATCCAATCACCAACTTGCAGCTCTGGCATATCAAAGCGCTCTACAATACGATCCAGGCCATCACATGTTGGTCCCCATATGCTACAGGAATAACAGCCCTCATCTGGTTTAGGTCTCTGAAGAGAGAGGTAAGTTACAAATTACTTTTGACTACCCTTATGCTTTCAAGGAGGACTAAAGCAGGAGTCTTCCCAAACAAATAGTTGCCATGAAGGAGATTATTAAAATGCATAGAACTCCAGCTCTAAAGTGGAGAAGAAAAATAGCTGCTAGCAGGGCCTCCTACATGAGTGATCTTTGGAATCTTCAGCTTTGGAATCTGCTCCACTGAATGGCCCAGAGCTCAAATGCCTAGGTTGGCAATGTGTCAGGAGTGGTGGTACGATGGTGAAGATGAAATATGAAGGCATATTATGAACGCAAATATGGAGTGGGTGAAATATGAAGGCATTATGCTTGAGTTTATTTGCACAGTGGAATGAGCAGTCTATATGTTGGTTTACTACCTGGAACAGAGGTGGGCAAACTCTGGGCCATGGGACCATCCTGCCCAGCCATTGAGCTCCTGGCTGGGAAGGCTAGCCCCTGGCCCCTCCCCTGCAGCCTCAGCTCGCCTTGCTGCCAGCACTCTGGGCAGCATGCTCCTGCTGGGCAGCATGGCTGCAAGAGCCACTGGCCTGCCCTGGTGCTCTAGACCGCATGGCAGTGTGGCTGGTTCTGGTCAGGTGGCGTGGCTGCCAGTCCTGGTGCTCTGAGCAGCATAGTAAGTGGATGTGGGGGTGGGGAGAGGCAGGTGGAGCGGTCAGGGAACAAGGAGCAGGAGGTGGGTGGTTGGAGGTTCTGAGGGGGGCAGTCAGGCTGTTTGGGGAGGCACAGACTTCCCTACCTGGCCCTCCACACAGTTTTGGAATCCTAATGTGGCCCTCAGCTGCCCCCCCCAAAAAAGTTTACCTCCAGATCAGGGGTGGGCATACTGTACCTTTTGCAAGACTGGCTTAACATGTGCATGATCATATAGGATGCAATTGAATGATCCATACACTCCATCATTTACATAGTACATAAGAGTTTTGCCATTAGTATCATCTTCATCTAAAAAGAGATGAAAATATGCATATAAAAGCCTTTGAAAGCAAGTTTTTTATCTGGTTGCAAATGAGATTAGGAGGAGATCTAGGTTTACATACCATCAGAACCTGACTGCTCCTTTAATACAACTTTTTTTGCAATTATGTTAACGGCAAGTGTGAAAGCTGATGCAACGTAGTATCTGCCAGGCTCCGCAATAATTCTTATTCCAGAATCACAAGGAAAACATTTGTCCAATGCTGGATTGATTACATTTGTGATCTAATCAAGAGACACACAAGGTTAGTGACTGTACAAAGTACCAAACTAAAGTTATTAGACTGGCTATTGCAAGAGCCAAAAGGATAAGGCTATAAAACAGTGCAAAGTGCTACGCTCAGTACACGTTGTCTGGTTAGACTGACCTGCCACTTGGCAAGGCAACTCCCATCCTTTCACATGCTGTGTATTTATACCTGCTACAACCTATCCTGAAAAATGATCACTCACAGATCTTGGGAGACAGGCCAGTCCTTGCTTACAGATAGCCCCCCAACCTGAAGCAAATACTCCCCAGTAACCACACAACAGTAACCCAGGAACCTATCCTTGCAACAAAGCCTGATGCCGCCAACTCTGTCCACATATTTATTCAAGTGGAACCATAGGATTTAATCACATTAGCCACAACATCAGGGGCTCGTTCACCTGCACATCCACCAATGTGATATATGCTATCAATGCCCCTTATGTATATTGGCCAAACCAGACAGTCTCTACGCAAAAGAATAAATGGACACAAATCTGACAACAGGAATCATAACATTCAAAAACTGGTAGAATACTTCTGCCACTCAGTGAAAGACTTAAGGGTGGCAATTCTGCAATAGAAAAGCTTCAAAAACTGACTCCAACGAGAAACTGCCAAGTTTGAATTAATATGCAAACTAGATACCATTAACTTGGGTTTGAATAGAGACTGGGTCATTACACATATTGACTTTATTTCCCCATGTTAAGTATCCTCACACCTTCTTGTGAGCTGTCTAAATGGGCCATCCTGATCATCACTACAAGAGTTTTATTCCTCCTGCTGATAACAGCTCATCTTAATTAGCCTCTTACAGTTTGTATGGCAACTTTCTACCTTCTCTGTATGTGTACACAGATCACACACCCCCCACCACCCCTTCTTACTGTATGTTCCACTCTATGCATCTGATGAAGTGGGCTGTAGCCCATGAAAGCTTATGCTCTAATAAATTTGTTAGTCTCTAAGGTGCCACAAGTACTCCTGTTCTTTTTGTGGATACAGATTAAGACAGCTGCTATTCTGAAACCATTTACTAGGTCTGTTAAAGAAAGCCATATATGTATTTAAAAAGGCTAAGGTGCTCTACTTGATTCTGCAGTTAACAGAAGAAAATTATGACTACTTCAGTTCCAAATCAAGAACAGACTCCACTAGTCTTAATACTAATCAAAAGGGAAGCAAGATACCAGGTAAATAAAGGTTTGCCCAAGTTTACTATATCAAAATACCTTTACAACCTGATAAACCAAGTATTAATTAGAAATCCAACATACCTCTTCAAATTTAAGCTTGACCTCTTCAGAGCCAGGGAAGCCACCACCAATATCAAGCAGATGCATACTGAAACCAAGTTCTGTCTGCAATGTGACCATGTTAAAATGGGACAGTCAAGCAAAGAAGGGATTCTTGAATAGTCTAACATAGGTCAAAACCAACTCCGTTGGAAGACCAATTTTATTTTTAAGAGTTTCATTTTATGGATACTTCTGACAAACAAAACAGACTAGTCAGTTTACAAAGCACTAGTACAGGAGAACCAGCAAGTTTTTTTAAATTGGTCAGATGTCTTTTTTCCACAACACTTAAATATCGTGTCAACTATCAAAGGATTACCAAGATTCAAAGTAACTGACCATATGAAGCTGAATACTAACTGTACAGGAAAGGGTATAAAGCCTCTTATTTTAAGTTTCTGGTTCCAAAGTTGTACATTACTTTGTTAGAGTGGCATTTCATTCTGAAAAGTCAGCTGTATGGTCAGTACTGTGACAATAGTGGTCCAGAAGCAATACTCTTAGGTAAGCAAATTCATACTTACTCCCATATCAAAGACACAACGGGCATCAGAAATAGCTTGAACAAAGGTCTCTGGGTCAGTACAGCCACTTCCAACATGGAAACTGGAAAACAGATGCAAATCTCAATTGTCTTTTGGAAGATTTAAGTTTTAAGCAACTATTTAGACAAAAGTAATATGTAGTAGCAGATTATGGTGTCAGTTCTTGTGAGTGGGCAAGTTATTTACATATTTATAAAGATATTACAATGCATATTTCTAGATGGGTGTTTTGAGAGTTTGTACATACAGATCATAGTTATTACTAACCTGACTCCAATAACATCAAGGTCAAGTTCTTTTGCCCGCTCCAAAAGAAGTCTGCTAGTTTTCAGGGTAGCTCCAAATTTAACACTCAGGCGACAAACTGCTTTGGAGTCATCAGTTGCAATGCGCAAGACTAGCCTAGAAACAGTGTCCAATTTAGTGCCAATCCACTAGATTTTATAGAGCAGACAATCTGGTTGAAATAGGTTTCAGGTCAGGAGAATGGGGCTTCTAATTTCTAGAAGGGATTCTCAAATTTTATTGCAGCATGACCCCCTAACAAAATAACTACTACATGACCCCAGGAGGGGGGCTGAAGCCTGAGCCTGCCCAAGCCCTTCTGCCCCAGGCAGGGGAACAAAGCCCAAGCCCAAGCCTCATGCCCCAGGCTGGGAAGGGGTAGAAAGGGTGACAAAGCTAAAGCCCCATGGCTTCAGCCCCAAGCAGGGGGCCTCTAACCTGAGCTCCACTGCACAGGGCTAAAACCCTCAGGCTTTGGGGCTCGGGCCCTAGCAAGTCTAACGCCAGCCCTGGAAACTCCATTAAAACAGGGTCCAGACCCACAGTTTGAGAACTGCTGAGAGAGACTTCTAGTAAGTCAAATTTAAAATAAGCTAACTTTGCTGTAAAATGTTGACAAAGGTGGACCAAATTTAACATGCAAGCAAGTTTATATTGTCCTTTATATGCCAATACACTATAAAACTGTACTTGACAAATACGTTAATATTTGTGTTCTCTTTCAATTGTGAGAGTGTTAAAAGCTTAGAAATAAAGCTGAATGTGTGTTACCTAAGTAGACACCACTAATACAGGATAGGTGAATTTAAACATGTTAAGCCCATTAAGAGGCCCAAAACCAAAAACTCCTTACTTTGCCTTTGGATGAGCTCTTGCAACTTTCATTAGCTCTACTTCACTATCAAAAGTCATCATCTGCACACCACTGTTTGCAGCATGTTTAATCTGAGAGATTTGTTTACAAGGATTTGCATATATTATTCGTTCTGGAGGTACACCAATGTTCTGTACCAACTGGATTTCAGTCTGGAAAAAGAAGAAATAAATTACTTTCTGGATGAGGTCATCCATTTGTTGAAAGATACCCTTGTTTCTAGCTAGCAGAGTGTGAAGATATAACATTGACATTCAAGAAACACTCCTAGTTATATACAAAGCTGTAACATCCATATGTGAAGTTACCATAAAAAAAAACAAAAAAATACACACAACTGAAGCTCTTACCTTACTAGCACAATCAAACCCTGCACCAAGAGCAGCAAGTGTCTTCACTATAGCTTTACTGTCATTACATTTGACAGCATAAAAGGGTGTTACTCGAGGGAGTGCTTTGTACCATCGGAAATGCTTCTTTAGGACATCCCCAAGGTCAGCAACATAGAAAGCATCTTTATCATCCTAAAAGAAAAATATCAGGTCATCTTCAGGAATGCCCCCAACTCAATGTTCTGCAAAGTTACAGTATAGATTTTTTTTTTATCAGAAAGTGTAACAATTTTATATATTAACTGTACTCAAACTTAGAAATATATATTTTCAGAAAATGCACTCATGTTTTGCTAGCATACTTACAGAGGAAGAAACTTCATTTATTTTTTGGTCTAGAATATCCTTGGCAGTAAAGCCTTCATCAAGGAAGGTGAAGTCAAACTCCTCATTGCTGAAGCTGAGCATCGTTTCTAAGAGTGTAAATGCAACAAACTGTGGATATAGAAAGTATGTTAGTTCATTCAAATTAGCAAAGAGACTCACAGAACACTAAATGATAGTCAAGATCCACAAACTTACATGGACAACTAAGAAATATCAGCTTTGTTCAAATTCTTTCAACTGTGCACCCAAAGATGTGCTTCAGAAAAGCAAAGTCTTGACAGATTAAGGCAAGTTTTCTGTTCTCTGTGCAGCAGTTGTATGATGTTGCATTGAAACTGTTCAAAGAAAAAAAAAGAAAGATTAAATCAGTTATGGAAGTTTAGAAAAATGACAATTTAAAAAGCCTTCTTTAGAAACAGAAATACATTGAAGACTGTACACTAAGCAGAGCAAGTTGTTATATAAAAAACATCACAAGTATTTTAACATGCCCATTTACTATCATTTAACATTTCATCTCTTTCAAGTCACTCTACATATGCAACAAACATTTGGCCAAGTTAGGTCTCTGAAAATTGCCATCTGCATACACTCAGAGGTTGGCAGGTAAAGTCTCTGAAAATTGTTTGTATAGAATATGTTCCAGACCAGGGACTGAATAGGCCTTTCCCTGCAATTGCTCCACATGGCTGCCAGGTTGGTGTGACAACAAATGAGCACAGAAGATGGTTTCTCCTGTTCTGCCAATGTTTCCCCCTCAGGCATCCAGGCAATGTGAAGAGAAAAGTAGCCTCACTCAAACGCTAAGGGACAAGCTCTGAAACCACTAGAGAACACTCCCTTCCAGAATCTGGAACTGAACTTAGAATTCCTAAGTCTCCGTTTTCGTCAGCTGTCTAACAAATAGCTGTAAAACCCACTAGTAAAGTATATGTATTTCATGCACCTCTACAAGCTGGTCCAAATGGAGGATGGCAACCAATTACTTTATTAACTCAAGTGGTAGAAGTCTGTGCTGTGAATCTAAAGAACCCAACCCTGCTAGTGACCTGGCTGGAGCTTGATATGGTTCCACATGACAAAGTTGAGGGTTTTTTTTTTTAAGCTTGGGAAAATACATAAGCCACCACATGTTAAAAGGGTTATGGCTGCAAAATTTAGTACTCAGGAAATGCCCTAGTGTTGTATGCATTAGGGGGTCTTTAATTACCATTAGCCTCCCACCTCCCCCAGAACCTTCCTCCATTCAACGGACAGGAAATAAATTGGGGTTAGATAGTCAACAAGGCTACTGTCTGTAAGACTGCTGCCTCATCTGAGGGAAAGTTTGGAAGGGGTTTAACAAATGAGGCAGGGGACTACTGGAAGAGGAGGAAAAAAAAATAAGGCAGCTGAATGCAACCCTGGAGAATTGGTACATTTTCTCCCTGTCTCTGCCACAGAGTTCCTATGTAAGTCACTTAAACTAAACTTTTTACAGGTGTTCAATTATGTACTCATTTTCTGGGTGCCCATAGAATCATAGAATATCAGGCTTGGAAGGGACCTCAGGAGGTCATCTAGTCCAACCCCCTGCTCAAAGCAGGACCAATCCCCAATTTTTGCCCCAGATCGAACTCACAACCCTGGGTTTAGCAGGCCAATGCTCAAACCACTGAGCCATCCCTCCCCCCGATTTGAGACAAATGGAACCTGATTTTTACTCATGTGCAATTGACATCTATGTTCAAACCTCAGCTCCCTTTAATTTCTATAAAATGCCAAGTAGTCACATTTAGTGCCCTGTTTGCCATATGCACTGAAAGAAGCAAGGATACTATGGAGAAAATAGTGTATCACGTAATTAAAACTGTATCCTAATATACAAGGGGGCTGAATTTAGACTGCATAGGCAACCTTAACTCTGGCATTTCTTAACTTTTGCCTCTTGTCTTTGCAACCTTAATGTTCTTTTAACAGTTACTATGAAATTGAAATAACAGCTCTACTTTCTTCATGTTATCGCAAAACTGTTCGACTGGCCGTTTTAGCTCATGCCCGAGTTAACACACGGGAAGTCTGGAGCATCACTCTGCATGCAGCTTCTTACAGATTAAGTCTTCTAAATGACCACACGTCCTGCATCCCTCAAGGACAACTGACAAGAGTTTTATCGTTCACATCCAACTCTATAAACCCAGAGGTTCAAGTGAAGGTTTAATACGTTCGCTCCAAAGTACAAAAGCCACAGTCCTACGACTAGCAGCTTCACGGAAATCCCCCGGGCAAGCACCCCTCAGTGACAGCTTTGCGGGTTTCTCAAAACGCAGATGATTTCAGGGATTCACTTGTGGGCCAACTTAAGGAGCCAAAATGAACGTAGCGGGAAACCTTAACGTCCCCTTCCACGTAAGCGGTTCAGGCCAGGCTACGTGCCCACCGTTTTGTAGGGATCTACTGCAAGCACCGGGGCGGCTCTGTGCTATTTCAGCCGCGCGAGCCCGCCTCGGTGGCCTGGCTGTGCCCGCCTCAGCCGGGTGCCGGGCCCAGGCCCGCGGTGGAGCAGGGGGCCGCGGCCGCCGGGCCATTACAGCAACCGCCGCGGGGCCGGCTGCCCGCGCCAAACCGGCTCTCGCCGGGGACCGCGCAGCCCCGTCCGCCCCGGGGGCTCCGCCGCCCTGCCCCCTCTCCAGCTGGGTTAGCGACGCTGCGCAGCGCGGCCCCCAGCCCGCCTCTCCGACGCGGCTGGCGAGACACGTGGCTCCAGCGGCCGGCCGGCTGCCTGCCTGCCTCCCTCCCCCGGCAGAGCGCCCGCCGCCCCCGCCCCTCACCTCACCTCAGGCAGCGCCCGTCATGGTTCAGCGCGTCGCCCGGCAGCCGGTCGGTCCCCGAGTCCCGTGCCTCCTCCTCAGAGACGGGCCCCGCTGAGCTCGCGGGCTGCCGGAGCCGGAGTGGACGCGCCGCCCGAGGAGGAGCCGGGCTGGAGGAGCCGCCGCTGCCGACCGGCTTGAGAGCGCCGACTGACAAAAGCCCTAGCGCCAGCAGAGCTCTTATTTATAGGCCGGACTGCGTCGCTATGACAACGCACCAGCTCAAACCAGCCCCGATCGGCTGGGACCGGGCAGGAGCCGCAGCTGCAGGCCGCTATTGTGACGTTAGAGTTTTCGAACACGCGCACGGGTTCGCCACGCCTTCTCCTCCCTCCCCTCAGGGGCCGCGTTCTAAGGCCTTGCGTCTAGACCAGGCAGGCAACCTTTCGCTGGTGGCTCCTCCTCCTCCTCTCTTCCTTTCTGATGCTTCCACCCCTCCCCGTTCTTCTCTGCTGCTCCTTCCTCGCTGCTGTTCCCCTTCCTGTGTACCCACTCCGGTTACCCCTACCCTTGCTTTTGCCCCCTCTGCTGCAATCCCTCCACCTACTCCCTCTTTCCGTCCTGCTCCTTTTCCTGGAAGGGTTTCATAACAGAGTGGGGGTGTTGAGACAGCTCCCAATCCCCTCTTCCTGGCTCTGGGATTTCCATTGAAGTTCACATCGGTTTGCAGTGGTCATTGACTGGGAACCCTTTCAAAATCAACTTGGATTCAAATCTCAGCTGGGCCAGTTTAGATTCGAATGCAGTCAGGGTCAGCTCACCTTTTTACCTTTCTAGAGTAGATAAATTGAGGACCATGTGCTGTCTTTCACTTGAGCCCTTAAAGACAGGTCCTGGGTAAAGCTTTCAAAAGAATCTATGTGAACTATGCCCAGATCCTCTTGGTGTTTAGGTTTCTAGCTCCCATTGATTTCAGTGGGAGTTAAGCATGTTTGAGGATTTGGGCTTAGGAGCCTAAGTCCCATTTTCAAAGGGGATTTAGGCACTTCACAGACTTTGGCTCCTGAGTGAAAATTTTACTTCCAGTCTCTGAGTAATCATCAAAGAGACTTATACAGGGGAAGGGGTGTGTCTCGCTTTCCTGTTCCAGAATGTCCCTTCCCCTACTGATACTACTACCGTTGCTACTTTCTACTCCAGCAGTGGTTGTAGTTTCACAACCTGTATGCAATCCTTTAGGCTGAAAAATGCAATAGAAGTGTGATGCAATTATTATTGTCAACAAGCTGCTGTATTGCAAATTAACAGTGTTATTGAACCAACAACTTTAGGTTTAGTGAAAATAAATATTTTGCTGCTACTTAATTTTCCCTCTAAAATGTATATGATTTGAAGCTTGTGATTTTGTTATTTAATCTTATGACACTTAGACCTGCTTGTGATACATTTCACACATAAGACATTGCACAAAATTGTTTCTTTGTGTGTGTGTGTGTGTGTGTGTGTTTTAAATCAGATCATATTTTATGCCATGAGTCTGCTTAGCGGGACTGTGTACATGTTAAGCACATGAGTCTTTGCAGAATCAGGGCCTAAATCTTTAACTGAACTATGCAGTACATGGAAGGACATGTCTTCTTGTACTCTGGTCAAATTCAGTTCTGGTGTAAGTAGACCCTTCACCAACCCTGTTAACACTGTATCTGAACTTGACCCAATGTTAATTTAAAAAGTAGGGGAGTAAAGTATCTGTTGCTTAAGAATGTATACAGTACTAAAAATGTAGTTTGGGGGAGGTTTAAGGCGAAGCCAAATCTTGTCTTGACTTTGTTGAGAGTTGCTCATCCTATCTCAGAATTTAGCTTACCTGTTGTGAAGCTAAATTTAACAGAGGCAGTTTCCCCCCACTGATAGTTTAAATTTTCTTTTGTTTTGCAACTATCTAACTGATCTGTTTCAGTTTTCTCTTTTATTACATAAGGGGATTGTAATGATAAAGTCAGCATGATCTAACATAGGATTAAATCAGTGGCAAAGTTCCATTAACTTTAATAGGAGCAGAGTCACTCACACACACAAACTGAAAACGAAGTGACACATCACATTTTTGGTACAAACCAAAGAAAGAAATTCAGAGTCAAGGCTGACATTCTGGGCCAAATTAATCTTTAGTGTAATTCCACTGAAGTTGATGGAGTTACATTTGGGATAAACATCTCTTAAAGCTATCCTGCATATGCCTATATTTCAACACATGCTATGTATGTCAAAACTGTCATCTGTACACAGATGCTTACCACAGCCATAACAAGGCAGAGGACCGGAAATGGCTAACAGTATCTAGAGGATGTTATGCAAAATGCTTGTTAGAACTTCAACATTTTTTTTTCCTTTTTGTCTTGACAGTGAAGTGTGTTTCCTTTGTGAAGTTATTTTGTCTCCTGGTGCACTGGCTTGTTATTGTAGGGCTGCTTACATGGGACTGGATTACTGGCATTGCTTTTTGTGTGTGTTGGTGGTGGGCTTTTTGTTACTAGGGGAAAAAAACAAATTGGGCTGGGGAGTCACATATACATATATTTTCATGAATAATGCTCCTTTTAAAAGTAACCATTTTTTTCTCTTGGAGTGACTGCCCTTGCCACCATTCTGAGAGGCACTATCTTTACACTGGGACTTCTTTTCCCTCTGCCAGTATTTTCAGAGTCCTAGATTAAATATTTTGCCATCTCAGATTAAATTAAAGGATCGAATCCTGCTCCCATAGTGTCAGTGGGAGTGCTGCCATTTTCTTTAGCGGAAAAAAGACTGATTCCAAAGTTAGTAACTACAGGGCAGATTTTTTTTTTAAAGTCTCTGATTATTTCTAAGAAAAGCATGAAATCTACAAGTAATTGCTATCACAAAAAGACAAATCAGGGTGATCTGTGCTCAGGTGTTGAGCATTTTCCTAATTCCCAAAGAGTCTGCTCCTGTTTTCATTAAAGTCAGAGTTTTACCACTGTCTTCAGGAGTAAAATGTGCTATCAGTGTAGAAATGACAAGTAATGAGAACAAAGGAGAAGATATACTCAGCCCAGATTCACCCCTCCCTCTTAAACAGGTTAGGATTCTTGCATGGGGTGCCACAAATTGTAAGGACAGCCCAGCAAGCTGTCAGCTAGGGGTACTATTGAAGCAGTGGGCCTGATTCTCTGCTGCATTGTGCCTTGTAGGCGTGGTTACACCTGTGAAAAGTGGATGTAAAATGCTGCTCATTGGTACAAGTGAGGGGAAATGCTAACCAGGTAGCATTTTGCATCAAGTTTGCCCAGGTGGAACTGACTTACACAAGATGCAAGGCAAGAGATACTCAGCCACAGCCAGGAAGGATAGTCTCTCATTGCTTGAGTGACCCTCTTCGGAAGGTAGAAGAAGCTGCACCCACCTTTCCTGAGGTCTTTTGAGAGTGATGCTGAAGAATGGGATCCCAGAGGATTCCCATTTACAGATTGTGTTATAGCGTGCACTCACCACCAGAGCGCCCAGTTGTGTCACGGCACAGCATCGCACGTCACAGCACAGACTCTTCCTCTCTAGCGCCTCCCTGTGTCTTGGTTCCACAATGGTCTGCTGCCTCCCAGGGAGAGCGTCTATGCATCCCCTTGATATCTTAACCCGCTGCTTTTCTCTTCCAGCAGGACACTTTCTTAGGGCAGGTTGCGAAAAGAGAGTGGGGCCTCCAGCAGGGGTCAGTGAATGCCTGGTACACCCTGTCACAGACTAAAATAAAGAAAAATAATTAGAAGAGCAGGTAGATAAGAAAGAGAAGAGAATTTTGAGCAGCATCCAATGAAATGTCTGGGAATGCTACTGAGTTTGGTTAAAAAATAAACCAATTAAAGAAAAAAAAATAATCTCCAAAAATGAATTTTTTGAAATTGTGTGTGCATGCATGCGCATGCTTAATTTTAGGAAGGTTTCATAAATGATTAAATCCAAGAAGTAGGGGGGGAAAAATCAAGCCTGCATGAAACCAACATTAATTTATTTTTGAAGTGCTCCTTTCCATATAGACATTTGTGGTACTGCACAAAAATTATATGTATCAAAACATCATCAATCAAGGAACACCTGAGAGGTGGTTCCAGAGAGAACGGTTCTAGACTATTCTCAATGGTAGAAGAGGACAGGACAAGGAGTAATGGTCTCAAGTTGCAGTGGGGGAGGTTTAGGTTGGATATTAGGAAAAACTTTTTCACTAGGAGGGTGGTGAAACACTGGAATGCGTTACCTAGGGAGGTGGTAGAATCTCCTTCCTTAGAAGTTTTTAAGGTCAGGCTTGACAAAGCCCTGGCTGGGATGATTTAATTGGGGATTGGTCCTGCTTTGAGCAGGGGGTTGGACTAGATGACCTCCTGAGGTCCCTTCCAACCCTGATATTCTATGATTCTAAGGGATGTCTAACAGAACCCCTGCCCCCCTCCCCTAAAAAACATGGGGTGAATAGTGCTAATGCTGAAAACATCTCTGGGAATTTTGTTTAATGTGTTAGAAATCAGGAAGGACGGACTGAAATGGATGTCATGGGGGTATCACTTTAGGGCTCACTGCAGCAAAAGTACAATTCCTTGCTGAACTAATATGGGACAGTAGGGCCCCCAAATGGCAGGTGATATCAGAAAACAAATACTCATCAGGCTGAGGCCAAAACAGATGATCATGGATATAACTTGGGCCTATTCCTTTGAGCTTTAGAAGGCAGCAGGACCCTCCTCAAGTAATTTTTGATAAGCATCCAAACTTTTGAGGTCACTTCTATTTATTGTTGGCCTGTAGCATAACTGATGCCTCACCAGGCCCCTCAATCTGTTATTTTTCCAGCAGTTGTCTGCAGACCAGCAGCTGTGCTAATGTGTCTCAGAAGGTTCTACTATATCACCCATAATGGATGTGCCATTCAGAGCCTTTTGGGGCATATCAATGCTATGACAGATGAATAGGCCACTTTTTAATACAAAGGTTCATGAGATGATCCGAATGCAGAGAGAAACTGGGAATGACAAGCAACTGTAATTAGATGGAGGGAGACCTGATCTCTGGATGAGAAAGCAAAGGCAATGAATATTAAGTAGCAATTATACTGGGTAGGAAGGCAAGAATACATGAAGGGGCATGGGAATGCAATCATATTTGGCGAGGGAACTCAAGTGATACAAGGGAAAGAGGTCCAGATAACAGCAGGGGGTTGTAGTTAACTGAGGTGCTGGTTCACTCCT